GTGAGTGGGGGCAGGCTGGGCCCTAGGGAGCTGAGCCCAGGCTGGGCAGGCTGTGCAGCCTAGGGGTGGAAGCGGTAGGGTTGTTCAGGGCTCTGACACTGTTCCTGCCTGTCTGAAGCAAGTCTCCCCTGTCTCGGAAGGCCCAGGGTCGTTGGGCTGTTGCCAGCCCAGGCTGGGCAGGCTGTGCAGCCTAGGGGTGGAAGCGGTAGGGTTGTTCAGGGCTCTGACACTGTTCCTGCCTGTCTGAAGCAAGTCTCCCCTGTCTCGGAAGGCCCAGGGTCGTTGGGCTGTTGCCAGAAGGGGTTGTGCTCTTGGGAATGGTTGGGGGGCTCACCATGCCGTGGCTAGAGGAGGAGCAAGCTAGACTCTAGGAGCTCTGAGTATAGAAGCTGTATTCTGGCCCATCACAGCTGTTTGGTGGCTGAGAGAGCACTGCTCATCCCTGTGCTACAGGACCCCGGCCGCCTGGTGTCAAGGAAGTGGGTGTCTTAGCAGCCTCGGGCCATGGCTCATCTGAGGGATTTTGCCAATCAGGTAGGTGAGAAGGAATAGTTTTTGAAACATGATACAAATCCTCAAAGCAAAAGTCTTTGTTTTAAGAACTCTGTCGTCATTTACCAAGGTGGGGATGTCCCACCTATGTTCTCAGCTGTGCTGTTCTGATCCAAAGGGTTGCTGTCCTAGTCCCTGAAAGAATCAGGCTTTGACACTGCCATGGAGGCAGGAAGCAAGAGACTGGCGTGGATACAGTAGCTCCCTAAATATAACTGTGACCTCCTTAGGGAAGTGGGGAGTGTTTTTCTCTCTCAGCATTTGAGGGGAAGTGGGATAAGAAATGGGACAGACATGCAAAGTCTGAGTTACAGAATGACCGGCCCCTAGTATAATGGACTGGATGTACATCAGTAATAGCCACAGTGAGCATCCTGTGCCAAGTAATTTTGGAGATGGATGAGAGGCTGGTCTGCTTGGCCCTAAATCAGGTGCAGGCAAATACCAGCCCACAGGCCGGATCCAGTCCGTCAGGGTTAGCTCCTGGTCAGCCCCCACTGCTGTATTTCCCTGCACGGCCGCAGGTAGCCGTGATCTTGGCTAATGGGAGCTGTGGGAAGCAGTGTCTTGGTCTGCCATGGTATAAATCTGTAGCGCACCCACGCCTGGAATATAGTGTGCGGTTCTACTCATCCTGTCTTAAAAGAGAGAATCGAATGGGAAAAGGTACAGAGAAGGGCAGCAAGAATGAGTAAGGGCTTGGAACAGCTTCCATATAAGTAGGTCCTATCAAATTCACAGCCCTGAAAAATGTGTGAGGCTGTGAAGTCTGGTCTTTCGGTTGCTTTTACCCTGTACTATACAGACTTCCGGGGGGAGGCCGGCGTTTCTCAGACTGAGGATCCTGACCCCAAAGGGAGTTGCAGGGGGCTGCAAGGTTATGTTGGGGCGGGGTTGATGGAACTGCCACCCTTACTTCTGCACTGCTGTCAGAGCTGGGTGGCCGGAGCATGGCAGCTGTTGGCCTGGGAGGCTGTACCCTGCCTACAGCAGTGCAGAAGTAAGGGTGGCCATACCCTACCATGCCCCCTTTCTGCGCTGCTGTTGGCAGTGGCTCTGCCTTCAGAGCTGGGCTCCTGTCCAGCAGCCCCGCTCTCCAGCTGCCCAGCTCCGCAGGCAGCACTGATGCCAGCAGCAGCGCAGAAGTAGGGGTTGCAGTGCTGTAACAATAACCTTGCAACCCCTCCTCCGCCAACTCCTTTTTGGGTCAGGACCCCTACAATTTCAGCACTGACATTTGAGTTTGAAACGGATAAAATAGTGAAATTTACCATTTTTAAAATCCTGTAACCGAAATGGAGCACACACTTGGGGGCTCGAGGCCCTGGTATAATGCAAGTAATAACTTGTGGCTGGCGCTCAGCTCTGAGTTTACGCCCAGTTCTGCTGCAGGCTTCCTGGATGACCTCGTGAAATTCTCACGAGATTGAGCCTCCACAACATGCCACCCTCTGATGACTGCTCCGAGAACTCGGATAGGGAAGCTGAGTTGTTGTGGCACAGGGCTAGGCCTGGTGGGGGGCCTTTGGTTGCGTGTGGGAATTGCTGGCTTCTGTGTCTATGTAAGAGCCTGTTCAAAGTGGAGACTTGACCTTCTCTAGCCTGCTCAGAGCGTAAAGAGGTCACATCCGTAACGTTTCACCACAGCAACCAGGCCCTGTGGCGCTGCCAGCCCAGCGAAAGGCTTGGGGTTGCTGCCAGGTGGGCTCTTAGCAGGCTGCTTTGCTTAGTTCCTTACAGCTGCAGTGATTTGCTGTGTTTAAAATGTCGCTTAGGAAGCCCCCCCGAGCTGTCCGACAGGGCCTTCCTTCCCACCCCATGAGCTGCCGTCATAGACTCCTCCCCCCGAGAGCCAAGTGGAAGAAATACCGTACCCTGGTTCATATGCTCAGGGTGGAATGGTCTTTCTCTCCACTCTCCCCCAAGGGACTCAAATAGCCTCGTCACCCTCCATCCTAACCAAGCTTGTGCCCTCTCCCACCTCCCAGGAATCGCATCCGTTAGGTGCTTTCTGGTTTGGCAGGGGTCAGCAGCTCAGCTGGCTCCCTTCAGAGGGGCCTGGAGCTCTGCTTTGCAACCCTACAGCAAAGGGGTGACCAAGGCTAGGAGTGGGCCGCAGGAGTGGCCTCCCTGCGCCTCACAGGCCCACAGGATTGTCGTAGCAGAGACGGGCTCCTGGGCAGAGTCTGCTTGCTCACTGCACCGAGGCTTTGTGGGGTGCCCATTGAACCGTGGAAGCACTTTGGTGCAAGGGGGTGCCTGGCTCTCTGTCAGTGTTGTGTGCAGGCAGCACACACCTCCCTTCGCGTGCCCCGCCTCCACGTGTGTGTCCCTTTAGTAGTGTGCTCAGAAAAAAGCCAGGTGGAAACCAGCGAGACGTGGCAATCCTGCATGTGGCAACGGTAACAGTGTCTCGCACAGAACCCTGATGAGCCTCATGCAGGCCCCGAGTGGCCCATGGCTAGCAGAGGAAACCAGATTTCAAAGTGCCCGGCAGCTGCAGGCCTTGATGGAGGTTAAGGAGTTGCCGTTTGAGCTGTCTCTGCTCCCTGACTGCGTTGTTTGTGGTGAAGGGTTCCTTGTAATGGCCTATGGCGAAGCTAGCTAGCCTGACCTGAGTGTGCTGCTGTCTGTGTGAGGCATGGTCCAGTTCATTTCTTAACATTGAGACCAGCATGTAGACCACTGGGTGGCATTGGATATGGTGCTGCGGAGATTTTTCTCCACATCCCCTTTCCGCACTGTGAGCACATGCGTGGTGCTTGCCTGGCAGCCAGCGTAGTTCAGCGTCTGTGCAAAGGCTCACAAGCTGCCATGTGGCATTTCAAACGGGTCTTCTCTCTCACTGAAGCATTTTGCTGGCCATGGCCAGGATCCATTGGGCAGACGTGGACCAGTGTTCCCCAGGAGACATGTATGTAAGAGAGCAGTAGGATTGCTCGGTGCTCCAGTATTTAGAGGGAGAAAAGCCTGTTGAGAGTCTACAGGTTAAAATTTACAGGTGGAAGCAACAGGGGTGATGTTGTGGTTGGTGAGTGCTATAGACCGCCGGATCAGATGGATGAGGTAGACGAGGCTTTCTTTGGACAACTGAGAGAAGCTTCCAGATCGCAGGCCCTGGTTCTCATGGGGGACTTTAATCACCCTGACATGTGTTGGCAGACCAATACGCCCAGTACACAGACAATCCAGGAAGTTTTTGGAGAATGTTGGAGATAACTTCTTGGTACAAGTGTTGAGAGAACTGACCAGGGGCCATGTGCACCTTTACCTGCTGCTCACAAACAGGGAGGAACTAGTAGGGGAAGTAGAGGTGAGTGACAGCCTGGGAAGCAGTGATCGTGAGATGGTAGATTTCAGGATCCTGACCAAAGGAAGAAAGGAGAGTAGCAAAATACACACCCCGGACTTCAGAAGAGCAGACTTTGATTCCCTCAGAGAACTGATGGGCAGGATTCCCTGGGATGCTTACATGAAGGGTAAAGGAGTCCAGGAGAGCTGGCAGTATTTTAAAGAAGCCTTATTAAAAGGCACAGGAAGAAACCATCCTGATGCGCAGTAAGAAAAGCAAATATGTTGGTGACCAGATTGGCTTACCAGGGACATCCTTGGTGAGCTTAAACACAAAAAGGAAGCTTACAAGAAGTGGAAACTTGGACAGATGACTAGGGAGGAGTATAAATATATTGCTCGAGAATGCAGGGGAGTTATCAGGAAGGCGAAAGCGCAATTGGAATTACAGCTAGCAAGGGATGTGAAGGATAACAAGAAAGGTTTCTACAGGCATGTTAGCAATAAGAGTGTGATCAGAGAGGGTGTGGGGCCCTTACTGGATGAGGGTAACCTAGTGTCAGAAAAACTGAGAGAAAAGCTGAAGTACTCAATGCTTTCTTTGCCTCTGTCTTCAAGGACAAGGTCAACTCCCAGACAAATGCACTAGGCAACGCAGTATGGGAAGGAGGTGGACAGACCTTGGTGGGGAAAGAACAAGTTAGGAACGATTTAGAAAAGCTAAATGTACACAAATCCATGAGCCCGGATTTAATGCATCTGAGGGAGTTGGCAAATGCCATTGCGGAGACTTTGGCCATTATCTTTGAAAACTCGTGGCAATTGGGAGAGATACTGGATGATTGGAAAAAGGCAAATGTAGGGCCCATCTTTAAAAAAGGGAAGAAGGACGATCCAGGGAACTACAGACCGGTCAGCCTTACCCTCAGTCCCTGGAAAAATCATGGAGGGGATCCTCAAGGAATCCATTTTGAAGCACTTGGAAGAAGGGAAAGTGATCAAGAATAGTCAACATGGATTCACGAAGGGCAAGTTGTGCCTGACCAATCTGATTAGCTTCTATGATGAGCTGGCTCTGTGGATATGGGAAAGTCAGTGGATGAGATACACCTTGACTTTAGCAAAGCTTTGGATATGGTCTCCCACAATATTCTTGCCAGTTAAGGGAATATGGATTGGGTAAATGGACTGCAAGATGGATAGAAAGCTGGCTAGACTGTCGGGCCCAACGGGTAGTGATCAACGGCCCGATGTCAGGTTGGCCATCAGTTTCTAGCGGAGTGCCCCAAGGATCTGTTCTAGGACTGGTTTTGTTCAACATCTTTATTAATGACCTGCATGAGGGATAGATTGCACCCTCAGCAACTTTGCGGGATAGGGTCCAGAGTGACCCGGACAGCATAGAGGATTGGGACACTAGAAATCTGATGAGGTTCAATAGGACAAGTGTAGAGTCCTGCACTTGGGAGCGGAAGAATCCCAAGTATTGTTACAGGCTGGGGACTGAATGGCTAAGCAGCAGGTATGCAGAAAAGGGCCTGGGGATTACAGTGGATGAGAAGCTGAAGATGAGTCAATGGTGGGCCCTTGTAGCCAAGAAGGTTAATGGCGTATTAGGTGCATTAGGAGGAGCATTGCCAGCAGATCTAGAGATGTCATTATTCCCCTTTATTCGGCTCTGGTGAGGCCACATCTGGAATAGTGTGTCTAGTTCTGGGCCCCCCACTATAGAAATGATGTGGATGCATTGGAAAGGGTCCAATGGAGGGTGACAAAAATGATTAGGGGGCTGGAGCGCATGAGCTATGAGGAGAGGCTGAGGGATTTGGGTTTGTTTAGTCTGCAGAAGAGACGAGCGAGGGGGGATCTGTACTTAGGTCAGGGTATTCCTGTCTCTGCTCTGTACAGGAAGGACAAAGGCCTGCAGGCTCTGCTCCTTGCACTCAGCTTCTTCTGGTCTCCAGGAGGAGTTGAGAGTCCAGAGTAACTCTGGATTGGGCCTTGGAATTTGCACTCCTTGGGCACGGCTTTGCTGCAACTGGGGGACTTGTACCGACCTGTTCAAGAGAGACTTTCCATTAGCCCCTTGTGGTCTCGTTGGGTCGTCTCCTCCTCAAGTTAAGAAGGCCTGAGGCGGTTGTGCCACTCCCAGACTGGCAAAGAGCGGGCGCCCTTCCACAGCTGGGAACGATGGAGCTTCCCGTTCCAGGTGCTACCTTGTGTGGGACACGATTCCTGCCTGTAGGACCTGTGCAGTCAGCCAGCACCTGCAGCCAATACAGCAACACTCCACAGTGCGTTGTGTGTGTGACGGAAGCTTAGCCCCTGCTGCCTGCGTGCTCTGCAGGGCTCGTGAGCCAGACAAAGGCATGGCTAACGCTCGCCGTCTGTGCTCTTGGTGCCCGGCCTGAGGCCTGGGCTAGGGATGTTACCGTGCAGGCGATCAACTGCCGAGGAACAGCTGATCGGTTAATGCTGTAGACGATGCGCATCCCTCCCCCCTTGCCAGGACGTTTTTAGCTGGCTGGTCAGCAGCCCAGCTCGCCCCTGCTGGGGCTCTGCATTTCAGGTGTATTAGCAGCCAGGCAGGCAGCCCGGCTCAGTTCTGGCTCACGCCGGGTCCGGGAGCTCTGGCTCCTCCCCCCCAGAGAGGGGCTGCCTGGGGACTGTAGAATGGTCGACTAACCGATAAGTATGCTCGAGGTTAACCGACTATTCGGGTAACAACACGTCACATCCCTAATCTGAGCCAGATCGCTGAGTCCAGAGCATCCCTTGGTAGTCCCTAAAGGCCCCATATGCGTGAGGGCCAGCCAGACAAGAGCCCCGTAGTGCATGGTCCCTGCCCTGCAAAACCAACAGCCAGACACGGGAGGCAGCGGCGTGATGGCAGCCACGGCTCTGAGAGCTGCTTGGGTTTTCCTCCTCTGTACGTCACAGCTGCTGAACAGGTCCTGGCTCTGCATCTCCCTCCCCCTCCCTTTCTAGAGTCCTGGGACGGGCTGGGAGTGTCTCTCTCCGTCCTTGCCCCGCCCATTCTGAGCCCAGTGCCCATAGTGGCCTGCTCCTCCGCACTGCGGAAGGTGGGAGCGTCCTGTTCAGCAAGACTGGGCCATGCCGTGCTGGCATCCGAGGTCTCCGGCTGTGACCGTTTCCCCACGCCGGTCCTTGGTGCCTGGGTGCTCTCCCCTCTGCCCCCCCCCCCGCAGCGCTGCTTGGGTGTTGCCAGGGATGCATGAGGCTCTTTGGTCTCTTAGGTTGGAAGTAGGGATGTTACAGTGCGGGTATTTAACTAACCGAGTAGTCGATAGAATTGTTATCGATTAGTCGATAGGCAGCCCAGCTCAGTTCCGGCTCTGCAATTTAAACCGCAGTAGGAGTGGGGATGGGGAATGTTGACAAGAAGAATATGTCTGAAGACCCATTCCCCTCATAGCATTCAATACCAACATCTGGGAAGGGGGAAGGCACCTTTCTCTGTCCGCAATCCCTGAGCTGAAGGGAATAAATGCTCTTCTTCCTAACTTGCATGCCAGGCCCCATTGGATATATGTGCTAAGAGGTCACCTAACTACATGCAGAACCTCTCTGATGGGGAAGAGGCAGCAGAAGGTCTCCCTCATAACCTTTAGCCTAATGGTTAGTAACAATGTTAAATTTAGTTTAATCAACTAATTGACTAGTTGATGGAATCTCCATTGACTAGTGGAGAGCTAACCCCACTGCACCTCTTCCTTTTAAATGTATTAAGAGCTTACACCTGGTCCCTTCTACCGCTTTCTCCCCAGCACCAGCCCCTGCTCCCCCCCTTGCTGCCTCTGGTACAGAGACAATGAGCAGGGGCGGAACGCGAGGCGGCGGCAACTCCTTCCCGCTCAGCACGCTGAGTGTGCTGGCTGCTCTTGCCCTGGGTGCAGGCGTCCCACGGGAGGGAAGGGCTGTTTATCGGCTGTGCCCAGGCCAAAGGGTTCCTAGCGATGCCCAGTTGGTTTAATTATTAAACAGCAGCTGAGGCACTCAGCGAGGACCAGCTGCAAGAGGAAGGAAATTGGAAACTGTTGCGGACATTGAGCTCAAATAAAATCTCGGTTGAATTCGAGGTTTATCTGGGGAGCGGCCCCGCTGGCATGGTTTGCAGCTGAGTCTGTCTCGCCTGCATTTCTAAGAAGCTGTAGGTGTGGCAATCCGGACTGCGGAGGTGCCGGGCTGTTTCCCAGAGAGCACACAGGATTTTCCAGGACCTCCACTTGTTTTTAAGAGAGTCAAGACTCTTTTGCCAATGCAAAGCACTTGAGTCTGCACCTGGGCTGAAGGAAATGGCATCAAAAAGTGAAGCAGACATCAGGCATTCATATTGGAGTGTTAACTCTGAAGCCTACTGATGACAATTTAAATGCTAATGGTGCTCTGTGAATCATCACATTAGAAATATCCCAGTTAATGTGCTGCTTTAGTGAGGCTGGAGGTGCTTGTCCCTTGAGGGCGTGCTGTTCATTAGAAAGGCTGTTCTAGAAGAAACAGGAGCTTGGGTCTGATTCTCCAGGGTCTCCATAATCTCTCGTGTCACTGGCCATGTCTGTTTAGCAGGCCTAGAGGCCAGTCAGGTCAGGGCCTGATGTTCGAGGCACTGGCGATACGCAGACCCTCGCCCAAAGAGAGACCCTTTGCTATGCACTGGAGGGCTAAGGTAGCAGCCCCTAAACTTCTAGGGTCGGTGTGCCCCCTTCCCCCAGGAAGGCTGCAGCTTGCAGGAGAAGGGATGCAGACAGAGTAAGGGGGTGAGGGCTAGGAGCAGAGACCAAGATGGGGTATGTCCGAGGCTGGGGGGCAGAACAGCAGCTGGGCTACAGTTAGGGGCCAAGCTGGCTGTGGGCTGAGAGCTGGGGCTATCGCTCCCTCCCTGTCCCTGGGGCTTCCCTGTGCATTTTGACCATTTCTCCATGCCCACCTGGGGGTCCTGCCCCACGGTTTGGGGATTCCCAGGCCTGCACTGGTCTGTGTGCAGGCAGCCATCGGACATCCCAAGAGCTGTCCTGGACTGTGGTGATGCCTTGCCCGCAGGGGGCTCCCTTGTGGGGCTTAGGACAGCACCTGGGGCTGCCTTGGGCTCTGACCTTCCGTCTCATCTCCGCCCCCTGCCTAGCACTCCAGGGTAGACCCGGAGGAGCTGTTCACCAAGCTGGAGCGCATCGGCAAAGGTTCCTTCGGCGAGGTGTACAAAGGCATCGACAACCGCACCAAGGAGGTGGTGGCCATCAAGATCATCGACTTGGAGGAGGCGGAGGACGAAATCGAGGACATCCAGCAGGAGATCACTGTGCTGAGCCAGTGTGACAGCCCCTACATCACCCGCTACTACGGGTCCTACCTGAAGGTAGTCGCCCTGTGCCCCAGCGCTACACCCCGGGGCGGGCCGGGATT